ATGCGCTCTACGTGTCAGAAATTCCACTTCCTAGAATTTCGCGTTTTCCAACGACGACCGGCTTTGACCGTTTATATTTTCCGTCATTTATTTAATTAAATTAAAAAATATGATCCGGGCCGTTGGTTCTCCCACTGCCGCTACCGACCAGTTACAGTCCCGCTCAACTAAAAATTCCCAATATGCACACATTAATTTACCATTTTTAATTAATAATGAAATTTAAGATACTATAAAATATTTATTATAAACCTCCGCCTCAAATTACTAATATTTAATGCTTCCTTCATTTTAATTATTAATGTATTATTTGGATGGCTTCTAAACTTTTCTCCCTAATCATTTTTTTATTACCATAATTATATAAATTAATACTTAAACAGAAAAAATTATGTCAATGAATAATAAAATCTTAAATTTTACATGAAATTATTAATATGATTTGGGATTTAAATTATCTTTTAAAACAAAGTCTATAAGATAACTTTATTTTATAAAATGTAAAAGAAAAAAAAAACGTTTTTATAATTCACGCGAACGATTTTCTCGCCATTTCAATTTAGAAAAAGCTTTATCAAAATTAGAAGGAAAAATAAAAGGAACACGTGTCAATATCTTGAGAGTTTGGATTTTGTCGGATTAATTGGAGAATTGAACGGCGGTGATATGCGGACGTATGTTAAATAGTGGTGCTCATGAGTAGACAAACATTCTCTTCTTAACTTAGTTCCCATATAATTAGTTCGATCTCAAAGGCCGTGAACCGCTTGATACGCTGCACTTCCATTTCAGGATGTTCTCTCTTCCCGCCACGTGGCAATTGACTCGTCCTCTGCCCCTCTCGGAACCGTCCAATACCAACGCATAGTCCACCGATTCATTTATTTTTATTTTTATTTTTATTTTTCTTTTTAACTCTAAATTTTTTATTTATTAAATTATTCGATTTAGGGTTAAATAAATTTTAAAAATAATTATCGTTATATAAAATATATTTCATAATTGAGTTTATATGACAAATTTATTTTTCAGAAAAATAAAAATAAAAACTAAAACATTAATCTTTTCTAAAAGATATGAAATTTAAAGTTGAATAAGGAATTTAATGGGACAATTAAGACATTGTTTAATTTATATACAACCATCAATTTACTTTTTAAAAATATATTCATTACTATTTTTGTTTATATTTAAAAGAAAAGTTTTAATTTTTAATTTTATGTTCTTAAATTTTGAGCTTCGTGTTTGATCCACTCTACTATATGTTTTAAACGGGTAAAGCTCTTAAAAGTGTGCGTATAATTTATTGATGGAGCACTCTTTTGCGTCAAAGACGAACGATGCTAAGCAAACTTTCAAAGCTATGAGATGTAAAAATGAAATGGTCGGAAAGCATTTTGCCCTAAAAGAAAACATTGCACAAACAGTAATGGTCGAAGTGGAAGCGAAAAGAAATGGATTGAGGAGAGATTATCATTTTTTCTCAAAATTTTTAAAACACGTTAAGGAGAGATTTTCTATTTGTGTCTGTCATCTTTATGCAATGGTTATGTTAATCTTCTCAGTGTCGTTTTAATTTAATCAAATGTCTCCGAGCCGAGTAAATGGAAGGACTAAAATTATAATTTAAGGTAAATAGAGGGGTAGTATAGTGTAAATAAATATAATTTTTAATTTTGAAGATAAAAACAAAAAGTTTAAAGATAAAGCAAATATATATATATATATAATATATATATATATATATATATAGAGAGAGAGAGAGAGAGAGATGCAGATCCCTCTTTGAAAAAGTTGTTATAATAATTATTAATTTATACGTTTTGTTGTTTCTCATTTTAACCCCCACATGCATTTCAGATCTGCAAACCCCACTTTATTTAACCATCTTTTTCTTTATTTTAATTCCTAATAATATATTATCTGTCCTCCATTTAACTTACTAATTTAAACGCATATATATAAAAATTAAAAAAATAATGGGCCCACAGGTGTTGCTGGATATGCCACGTGAGCATGAAACCACTCCCATCCATCCCATGTTCTCTTAACTGACCCCTCCCCCGCTCGTCTGCTGCACACACATTCCTTCATAATCTCCTCTGCCCCATTGCCCACTCACTCACTTTCTTTCCACATTCTTTTTCTTTTTTCTTTTTTCTTTTTTCTTTTTTCTTTTTTCTTTTCTCCTTTTATAATACATAATTATTATATTTCCCTCCCCATATGCTTACCAAAATATTTAATTCATGAAATTGGGGGATTGGGTGCATTAGATTTTTTGGAATTCTAAATCAATCATGAAAGGGTAGTGTATATTATAATTATTTATTTATTTATTTATTTATTTAATTAACAAAATATGATTCTGATTCCTTTTTATAGGGCTTAGTAAGCAAGGGGTAGGTTTGCCCATTTTCCCCATCCTACCCCTATGTTTATGTATATATTTTGTAAATCATTAACAAAATACAAATCCTATTTAGCCCCTAATTATTCCTTAAAAGTGGTCATTATTATTCCTTGGAAAATAAACAAAAATAAAAACATATAGGAGGGGGTGTAGTGTAGGGTGATGTCAGGGAAGGGAAGGGAAGGAAGAATTTAAGGAATAAAATCTGAAAACAATAAAATGAAGTCAAAATAGCAGTAATTTTCAAACCCCCCACATGAAATCTTATCTTTTATTATTTATTTATTTATTTATTTATTTATTTATTTATAAAATTAAAATTTAAAAAGAAAAAAAGAAAATTAGAAAAAGATTTCATGTGCCTCCAAGCTGCTGCTTGCCTTGCATCATCATGCCTGTGTTTTGCTGCCGTCCATTACCCCTTTCTCCATCACTTCTCCCTTCTTTCAATGCAATCTTTTTTTTTATTTTGCTTTACTTTATATTTTTTAAAAGTAGCTATTTTTGTTTGTTAACCTCTTAGGAGAAATTCTAAAGATGATAATATTTGCTAGGGTGAGCCTGGGTTGTTACATTCCTTTTGCATGATTTTAGACATCATATATGCAAAGACCTAAGACCTATGAGACAAGCAAACACATACTAGACTTACGAGTTTAGGTGAGATCTATAAAAGGCTTAAGTGTCCTATGAAAGATCTAAACCCTTGAGGGACTCGAGCCATTCGTTTAATTATGGGTCTTGTCACACGGATGTATCATGTTTGTGTGTGACAATATACATATAAGATAATTAATTAACATAGAGTAAACATTTAGAAATTTAATAACTTATTTATTTAATGGCAAATCATAAATACCATGTATAGACTAAGGATTAAAAAGCATGGACTCCACACATGTGGTTAAGTCGTTATCTTTCTTTTACTATCATATTCTTAACAAGTAAGCAACACTATATTATTTTCTATGAATAACTCTCCTCTAATGTGTTAAGTTTTATTGATCCAATCATAGAGTTCTTCAATTCATGTAAATAATAAATGTTTTAAGAAAATAATTTATAATTTAAAAAAAAAAATGGGGGGAGGGCAAAAATGGGAATAAAGAAAGTGTAGTTGGGAGTTGGGAATTGGTAAATAGAAATAGAGAAGGGTGCAATCTCCAAAAACATTGATGAACTGAAGCTGACTCCCAACTTAAATTATTGAATTGCATATACACAGAGAGAGATGCTTAACGGTCACTTTTTCTGCCTTATTCAGGTACCATTTTTTGATACCCTTTTCTTTTTCATTATTCTTTTATATATATATATATAAATTCGTTCAAGTACGACACTGTAACACTATTTTAGATTACTAACTTTTTTTTTAACATTCTAATACATTTTTACTCTAAAATTTTATGGATAAAAGAACTTGAAACTTTTGAAAGACTGATGGAAAAGGGGTGGAGACATGATAGAGAAGGGAAATGTTGGTGTTGAAACTTGAAATGGAGGGGGGAAGACGAGATTTTGTAGTTCCAAAAATGGTGAAGAGATTTGACTGAGTGTCTCTGAATCCCATCTCTGTAAAAATGGAATTTAGGGACTCAACCTCCTCCTCGACTGAAGAGAACCAAAGCCACAAGCCATGGCCTCGTGTCCACAATTCCATCCATTTAACCCAACACTCACACACACACACACACACACACACATTATATATATATATAGAATTTACCCTATTAATATATATATATATCCTCCTCTATTCCAAATATACCTAAATACGCTTAAATGGTATCTTATGAATCTCTATCGGTCTTATTTTTATTGTGCATCGTGTGAGCACATTTGGATCTGCAAAGGCAATCGCTCAGATGTTCTCCGATTCCCTCCCATTGGGTTACAGGAGGGTTTATCTAATCAAAGGGTGAGGCAAAAGGGTCCTAGTACTAACTAGGTGTGAAGAACCACGGGTGATTGTAACGAGCAGAAATCTCACTCACTAGCTTACATGACAAATAAACACTCCAACATGAGAGAAATGAATCACCCCAGGAATGGACTAATTAAGTAATATTTATTAATCAAAAGAAAAAGAAAATAAAATAAAATAGCCAAATGAAGTTTTATTTTTCTTTTTGGTTAAATTAAAAGTTTAGCCAGGAGGAAAATTTATAAGGGTCTAAATTTAAGAAATGATAATTTACACCAAATAAATATAAATGTAAAAATAAGAATCATTAAATCCTAAATAAAGGGACTGACTTAAGAATATCTTACAACCTTGGGGAATAAACTTAAAAATAATATAAAAAAAACATCCCAACGTAATGGTTAGAAAGAATATAAAAAATGATATAGCAAAATACATTAAATACTCTGATTCATACCTACACCTAATAAAAAAAAAAAAAAAAAGATAATAATTTTAATTAAATTGTCAGGTTTGGCGTGTAATTTATCCCACTTATTTTAATACCCTAAAAGGTAAAAGAAGGTTTCATTCGGCTGGTAGCCGATAGGGCAGCCCAATTATACAATTACCTACATTTCAATAATTCTCCTCTCCCCTTCTATTCCCTTATTTTCTTTTTTCTATTAAATATTTAATTCATTCATACCTCTGTAACTGTATCCATACTAAAAAAGAAAAGAAAACGCATCTAGTTATGGGACATCAGGACGAAGGCCCAAATGAAGCAAGCCGACCCCACTTATAATGGGACTGGGCTGGGATTGTCCTTAGCCCATTGGGCGGATTTGCAAGAAGAGAACTTTACAGATATCAGCGAGCTGCAGGGGTTGGTCTTTCCAACAAGCCAATCTACAAGTTCTGTCCCAAGCAGAGTGGAAAATTAATACCCTAATAGTACTGATCAATAATCACCAAACTAAACTATCCTTTGTTATGGTGCCCATATATCTCAGACATCTTCCAAGTTTAAAGAGAACACAAGTGTGAGTTGTCTAGAGAATCCTGCAGCTGCACTCTGGCGTGCTTGGGGATCCTTCAAACCAGCGATCCAATACGGGATTTACAACACCATTCGGGCTGTACACAAATTAAGCTGATAAAAAAGTGGATCCAGAATCCAGATGGGATGAGGGAGAGTGTTGTGTAGAACTTACACTGGCAAAAGTGGGTCTGATTTGGTTTCGACACCGGAAAGCAAGCTGAGAGCATGAAGAAAGATCAGGATTCAACTTCTTTTGAAATGTAGAAATGAAAAGTTCAGTTCTTCCTTCTATTCCTCGTGCAAATCCAAATGCACAGCACCAGATATGTAAGGTAAAAAGAATAAGAAGGATTACTCGACTTACTCCTTGCATATAGATGAGATGTTTCCCATTTTCTCAACTTCATCCAACTCTTCCTGGACGGGGTTACAGAAAGAAGAAATCATTTATAATTCAGTAATCATCTCAATACTGAAAGGGAAAATATCAAAGCAAAGGAGAGGAATCATGACTTGTTCCCAGCATCTTGTTTAGTGATGATACAAAGGTCTAATATATGGCACGAAGGGACACATAAAAACTGTGAAAAGACTGTTAATTCTAGAGCCTCTCCAAATATAATAACTGGCAACCTTAGCTCCAAGAACTGTAGGTATGCAAAAAGTATACAGCTACCTCAAATAGGCCGCTTTATTCACAATCTGTGAGATCTCCAATCAGTTAGAGAGGGGAATGAAATATACATTATAAGGGTGTGGAAACCTTCCCAATGGACGTGTTTTAAAACTTTGAGAGGAAGCCCAAAGTGGACAATATCTGCTAGCGGGGGGGCTTGGGCTGTTCCAAATGGTATCAGAGTCGAACACCGAGCAGTGTGCCAGTGAGGACGCTGGGCCTCAAGGGGGGTGGATTGTGAGATCCCACATCGATTGGAGAGGTGAACGAAGTATTCCTTATTAGGGTGTGGAAACCTCTCTCTCTAGTGGATGCTTTTTAAAACCTTGAGGGAAGCCCGGAAGGGAAACCCAAAAAGTACAACATCTGTTAGTGGTGGGCTCGAGTTGTTACAAATCAATGACAATACAAGCACATAAAGAAGATCTCAAAACCTTGAGAGAAAGCCCGAAAGGAAAAAAAATCCAAAGAAGACAATATCTCTTAGCGGTGAGCTTGAGCTATTATGCAATCAATGACAATACAAGCACATAGAGAAGATTTCTAACGGTTTCTGTCCATCCCGGTAAATATATGGGAATCAAAGTCAAGAGTACCCTTCTGATGAAGCAATTAGCACATCTTAGATCCACAGATAACAGATTGTACATGGTAATACTAGAAGGAAAACGTGAAATGACGAGAAACAAGAGTAACTTCGTATAAGAAACTCCCATGTTTTGTAACTTAACTTGAAAACAAACTAAACCATCACTATAACAAGAAAGTTAGCTGCTGACAACAATGTGACATGGATAGCTATACTTATTTGATTCCCATGGTCCCGATGATATTGATGATTCCACTGTCTCCTTTGATTTCTCCCATGAAGTTTTCTTATAGTAGACAACAAAAGATCATAGTTGAGTTGAAGCACCCTAATTGGAGAGCTGAACTCTGGTTACATATTCTCTCGTGAAACATCGTCCAATACAATTTTCAACAGTTTGATCTCAAGCAAGACTACTCCAAATTCATCACAAGTCACATTGAAGTGCTAACTTAGATTCAAATGTTCCAGTCAAGAATCAAGGTCGTGCGATACTTTGCAGTTGGAACACAGTTTATAATCCGAAGGGAAATCACAATATAGCTTACTAGTGAACAATTTATCGCACGATCTTGGTCAAAATTTTGAAACCTCTAAACAGAATGTCCATTGCTTCAGTTTGTGAGAATCTAAGGGATAGCAAACAAGCCTAATTTCTCTTCTGTCCCGCCTTACTCTTTTTACTATTATTGTATCATTTTCTATAAAACGAGCCTTCATTCGAAGATCAACAACAGGAAAATGATTGAACTATCGGAGAAATTGGAGAAATGCTCAAAACAAACAGGAAACAAGTGAAATTTAGAGGGAAGAGGTGAACAAAAACCTGCAAGTATTTGAGTTCTTGTTCAAGACGCTTGAGCTCCGCGAGAATGCGATGCTTTCCTCCGACGGTTCCGACTCCAACTGTAGCCTCGGGAACGAGCTGTCCATCCATAGACGACGCCATTACCGTAAACCAAAACGGAGCTTCGCAATCCACAGTCTACACTCCCTGTTTCTATAGTTCCATAGAGGAAGCAAAACTGAATTGAAGAGCTCATAAACCTACGAAAATCTCATTCCACAAGAAACAAAGGGAGATCCAAAAACTTGATGAGCTAATGAGCAAATAAATCGAGATTTTGCTGTTCTTCTGTTTCTGGTTTCCGTTTTAAGTTTCTTACAATTCCCACGCATCAAAGAATTTTTGTATTGTTTTAATATAAAAAATAAAGCAAATATGCTTTATTTATGACTCTTTTTTCTATTTTTTGATCCGAAAAAGTATTATAAATTTCAAATAAAATTCTGGCAGAAATTGTGGACGGAGAGCTAAAAGGGAAATGAGCATAGGTATAGAAGCAATTTGATAATGATAATAAAAATACATTCCTTTTGTAAATAATATATTAAAAAATATTATAAATCTTCATTTAAGATATAAAGTTTGTTATAAAATATATTTTATATAACTGTAATTAGTTATATTTTTCTCTTGTCTCTATAAATTGGTTAGCCGTATATTTTGGTGAGGATGGTTGAGAGTGGGTCTCATTACATAGATTAAGAAATGATCATGAGTTTATAAATAAATGAATACATTTTCATTAGTATGAGACATTATGGGGAAGTCTAAAGCAAAGCCACGCGAGCTTCCACTCAAAGTGGACGATATCATAACATTGTGGAGATCCGTGATTCCTAACATGGTATAGAGTCATGCTCTAAACTTAGTTGTGTTAGGTTATGAATAAATAGGTATGTATAGTAAAAAGTTATATGAGTAAATAGTTATATATATTAGAGGGTTATATTTGTTGTTAAAACTAAATATAGTAAGCTAAACCATATATATCCCCTATTTTCTCTATTCTCTATTTACATACTTGAAGTCATCAATATAAATTCTTTAGTCAGAGTTCTCCTTGCATTTTCTCTATCCTGTTCTTTGTGTTCATCTAGATCAAGTGTGTGTGTTGTTGTGCGATTCTAACAACTGGTATCAAAGTTAGGTGGAAGTCACCACGATCTGTGAAGATGAAAAATTCAAAGATTGGAATTGAGAAGTTCTATGGATCCGATTTTAGTTTCTGGAAGATGCAGATTGAAGATTATCTATACCAGAAAGATCTTCACGAACCCCTGTTGGGAGTAATGCTGGATACCATGACCACGAAGCAGTGGAAGCTCAAGGATCGAAAAGCCTTAGGGCTGATCCAACACGAAGAGATTATTTATAGAGATAGTCAGAGTGTCATACAGTTGGTGAGGAACCCGGTCTATCATTTAAAAATAAAACACTGAAGGCGATACCATTTCACTTGCAGGTTAGTGGAAGATGGTGATGTGTTTTGAGAAGATAGAGGGTGCAAAGAATACATCAAACATGTTGACAAAATGTGTTAATGTTGGAATATTGAGGTTATGCAAAATCTCAATTGGTATGGTGCAGTGAAGATATTCATGATCGTTTGAGAATGAAATTCTTAGTTGACTGGATCAGTCTCCAAGTGGGAGAATTGTTAGGTCATGAGTCTGATTATTTAGAGCTGAGTCAACCGTTATACATAGTAAAACTATATTTGATAAATGACATAGAAAGTAAATTGTCATAAATAGTAAATAACTATGTATAGTAAAAAGTTATATTTACATATAGTAAAGCTATATATGGTAAATAGTTATATATAGTAGATGGTAATATTTGGATATAATAAGCTAAACCATACATATATATATATATATATATATGCCCTCGGGCATAACTTTGAAAATGTACTGTATTCTCTCTTAATTACATACTTGAAGTCATAAATATAAATTCTTTAGCTAGATTTCTCATCGCATTTTCTCTATCCTGTTCTTTGTGTTCATCTAGATCAAGTGTGTGCGTTGTTGTGCGATCCTAACAAGTTATGACAATAGAATTCTCAAATATTGAACAAAGGGTGTACTTTGTTCGAGAGCCTTGCCCTAAACTTAGCCATGACAATAGAATTCTCAAATATCGAACAAAGGGTGTACTTTGTTCGAGGAAAGGAGCGAGTCTCACATTGTCTAATTTAGGGAATGATCATGACTTTGTTCGAGGGCTCTAGGGCTCTAGAGAAAGGAGTGAGTCCCAAGTTGGCTAATAATTAATGAAAATTGGACCTTCGATCCTATTTTTGTTCCTCATTCTTAAAAATGGTATATTTGAAGACTCTGACACCGAGATCCCAATAGTACGATAAAAATTCATAAATGGTTTTAAAATTTTAAATTATATATAATTTTTCGAAATGGACAAATTTGCAATTTACCACTTGTATCTTTGAAGACTAAAGAACCGAGTCGTTTTGTAAATAGAAAACTGTGTAAAAGAGGGAATCTGCGCCACACAATTGATCGGCTCACGAGTGGCATTCGTGTTAACTCTTTCCATTCCACACATTCCACCCTCCCTCTACTGTCCGCCTCACTCTGCCCGCTGTTCATGCCGTAGCCGTAACCTCTACGTTCCCATTGGCCGCACCATTGACATTATCGACCCTCTCAGCTCAAGCTTCTGCATGCGCCAACACTACCAAATCACTTCCACTCCCTTTCAGATCACTACGGATAAACTAGTCGATTTTCATCGTTGGGTTTCTTCATAATTTCTGAACTTATCCACTCCTTTCGTCAATTTCACTATCTCTGCCTTGTGGTTTGTTTTTCCCTTTAAATCATGGCTTCCGCAATGCTCAGTGGAGCTGAATGCCTCAAGATCACCAGAGAATTGGGGTTTTCCGCTTCCAATCTCCACGGCAGGAATTTCCCCAAATTAGGTTTAGTTTCCAGTTTTCGGTGTTCCAAGGCCGTGTCCATGGCGCCTAAGTGCAGTGTTTCTGCTTCGCGGCCGGCTTCTCAGCCTAGGTTTATTCAACACAAGAAAGAGGCATTTTGGTTTTATAGGTTCCTCTCGATTGTGTACGACCACGTCATAAACCCTGGGCATTGGACTGAGGACATGAGGGATGAAGCTCTTGAGCCGGCGGATCTCAGCGACAGAAATATGAATGTGGTGGATGTTGGTGGTGGCACTGGATTCACCACTTTAGGGATAGTGAAGCATGTGGATGCCAAAAATGTAACCATTCTGGATCAGTCGCCTCATCAGCTTGCCAAGGCTAAGCAGAAAGAGGCCTTGAAAGACTGCAAAATTATTGAAGGGGATGCTGAGGATCTTCCATTTCCTACTGATTATGCTGATAGATATGTGTCTGCTGGAAGGTGTGCTGCTCAAACTCTTCTCTAGCATTTTTTGTGCATGTTCTTTGGTAATGTATATTTATTTATGTTGATTTACTAGTTTGAACTGAAGTATGGGGTGTCCCGTTTTAAGTGAATCACTTTAAAACAAGATCAAATTTAGAATATATTTATCTATAATCTTGCATTGCCATGTCAAGAAGGTAGAAATCAAGACACTTCATCGTGGTATGATATTGTCCACTTTGAACCTAAGCTCTCATGGCTTTACTTTTGGTTTCCCCAAGGGGCCTCATACCAATAGAGATATATTCTTTACTTATAAACTCATGATCAACCCCTTAGTTAGTCGATGTGGGACACCTTTCCCAACGATCCTCCTCTCAAACAAAGTTCACCATAGAGCCTCCTCTGAGGTCTATCGAGCCCCTTGATCAGCCTCTCCTTAATCAAGGCTTGACTCCTTTTCTCTGGAGCCCTCGAACAAAGTACACCCTTTGTTCGACACTTAAGGATTCTATTGACATGGCTAAATTAAAGACATGACTCTGATACCATGTTAGAAATCACGACTCTCCACAATGGTATGATATTGTCCACTTTGAGCATAAGCTCTCATGGCTTTACTTTTGGTTTCCTCAAAAGACCTCATACTAATGGAGATGTATTCCTTACTTATAAACTCATGATCAACCCCTTAATTAGTCGATGTGGGACACCTCTCCCAACGATCCTCCTCTCAAACAAAGTTCACCATTGAGCCTCCTCTGAGGCCTATGGAGCCCCTTGATCAGCCTCCCCTTAATTGAGGTTTAACTCCTTTTCTCTGGAGCTCTCGAACAAAGTACACCCTTTGTTCGACACTTAAGGGTTCTATTGACATGGCTAAGTTAAGGACATGACTCTGATACCATGTTAGAAATCACAACTCTCAACAATGGTATGATATTGTCCACTTTGAGCATAAGCTCTTATGGCTTTACTTTTGGTTTCCCTAAAAGGCCTTGATATGAACCAAGAGACATCAATCATACAATATGCTTCAATGAAGATGTCAAGAAAATATTGTTGAAATTATTAAAAGATATTTCAATTCATGCCACATTGAAGAAGAATGAAGTTTCATGTTTTGAATTTTAGGTGGATTACAATTTAGAGTAATTTAGAGTTAATGTACTTCATTAATGTATTTTAAGACTTTTAATTTACTTTAGGTTACAATAACATAATGGTTAATTAAGGCCATTAAGTATGAATGTTACAACTCTTGGAATGTCTTTGGTAGTTTCATTTTGAGGCTATATAAAGCATGATCGATCTTGCTTGTGGAGTGATTCAAATCTCAAACAATGCTTTTGCCTTGAGATATTCGATCAACAAGGTAATCCGAATCTTACTCTCCTTGTAGTGATTCTTTATCTTATCAGGCCTCATACCATTGGAGATGTGTTCCTTACTTATAAACCCATGATCAACCCCGTAATTAGTCGATGTAGGATACCCCTCCCAACACAAGATTTAAAAAGTGGGTCATTCTCACTCATCTTTTCAACGCTAATTTAGCTAGAGGAATCTGCAATTGTGAGAGATCAAGAGAGGGAGATATGTTTATTGGTATCTCTGATCTTGTTTTGTGATTTCTCTGCTCAGTATTGAATATTGGCCAGACCCACAGCGCGGCATCAAGGAAGCATATAGGATCCTAAAGCTTGGAGGAAAAGCATGCTTGATTGGTCCAGTGTACCCAACGTTTTGGTTATCTCGTTTCTTTGCAGATGTGTGGATGCTTTTCCCAAAGGAAGAGGAGTATATCCAGTGGTTCAAAAATGCTGGATTTACTGACGTCCAATTGAAAAGGATTGGTCCAAAATGGTATCGAGGAGTTCGTCGCCACGGTCTAATAATGGGATGTTCTGTGACTGGTGTGAAACCATCCTCCGGCGACTCTCCTTTGCAGGTAATTTTTTTCACCATTTTCGACCTATGTTATGTTAGGAATTACGATTCTCCACGATAGTATGATATTGTCCACTTTGAACATAAACTCTCATGGTTTTGCTTTTGATTTTCCCAAAAGGTCTCATATAGATGTTTTCCTTACTTATAAATCCATGATCAACTTCTTAATTAGCCGATGTGGGACTCTTCTTCCAACAATTCTCAACAATCCTCCCCTCGAACAAAGTACATCATAGAGCCTCCCCTTAATTGAGGTTCGACTCCTTCTCTGGAGCCCTCAAACAAAGTATACCATTTGTTCGATACTTGAGTCACTTTTAACTACACTTTCGAGAGTCTCAACTTCTTTGTTCGACATCTGAGGATTCCATTGACATGGCTAAGTTAAGGGCATGGCTCTGATACCATGTTAGGAATCACGAACCTCCACAATAGTATGATATATTGTCCCCCTTGAGCATAAGCTCTCATGACTTTACGTTTGGTTTTCCTAAAAGACCTCATATCAATGGAGATATATTTCTTACTTATAAACTCACGATCAATCTCTTAATTAATCGACGTGAGACTCCTCTTCCAACAATCCTCAACAATTAGAACATAGTGATGCTGCTCCAAGACTTCTTCACATGGGTTCTTTTGTATCTTTGCTAAGATGCATCTGCAAAAACAACCAGAACAATGATGAATTATCACATGGGTTCGGTTCTTGGAAATCAAGACTTCGAATATGAACACTCAGTCCGACCCACTAACAATTCCGAATGGCTGAACATGTGCAAAAACCAAGTACATGATTATCATGCAGAATCAGTTCTTTGAAAATCATGACATGGAACATGTACACTCGGTGTAGGTAGCCACAAACAATTATGAACACAATGATCATCTGCAGTGTGAAATCTGTAACTATCTCATAATGTATTTGTTTGCAGCTTGGGCCGAAGGAAGAGGACGTGTCAAAACCCGTAAATCCATTCATGTTCCTGGTTCGCTTCCTTCTGGGAGCCATGGCAGCTACATACTATGTGCTGGTTCCCATATACATGTGGATCAAAGATCAGATTGTTCCAAAGGGTCAGCCAATCTGAGCTGGGAAGAAGGACTCAAAGCTGATATCCATTCTACTCTTGCAGGTGCAATTTTAGTTTTCTTGTTGTAGCACTCTTTGTTTCTTGCTGCTTGTTTTTTGTACATTGTTAACGAATTGAATACCCATCAGAAATGTGTATGATTCCGATTCAAACTTTTCTTGGAATCAGAGAACTTCCGTAGGACCAATCCCTTCAAATTAAAGCCCTTTATGTCATGTTATGGTCAGAGTGACTTCGGGATCAGGCTTAAAATATTGATGGACAAATTTATAAAAAATTTGTAAAAATAAATTTGAATTAATAATGAAGTTATGTTTTGTATAAGGACTAGATTTTTGTTAATTTTTACGTGTATTTGTGAGAGGTATCGATTAATTCTTAATATTGAGCTCGCTTTTGGAGCTGCAATCTTGTTTGGGAGTGTCAAAATATATACGACTTCTAAGAACGATATGATATAAATTCAAGGTATATCTCTCTCGAGTCGTGTCGAGGAAGGTAAGGAGGACGGCATTTATCGTTTTGGTTGAAATATGGACTTATAGTCTCTATATATTCATGCCCACCCTTTCACCTTCCTATATTTGGGCTTTTTTTGTGTTTTTTTGTTATTAAGTCGATGGTCAGCTTCTTGAATTCATCTCTGGATATATTGCCTGGACCACTCCTTGTTATATTTTCAAATTATTCAACTAAATAAAACTTTTAATTTTTTTTTATTATCTATTTTACTTTATTATTCTAATATTAAGTTTATGTTAGGTTTTTTAATTTTAAAAAAAAACATTTTAATAGGTTTCTTTAACTTTCATTTAAAAAAAATATATTAACACGCTATGACTTATTAATATAAAATTGTAAACTTAGAGACCATCTTTAATAATTTTAAAAAGGATTATTTTTGTCAATATTAATGGTAAATATTAACCTCAATATTAAGAGGTCAAGATTCAGTTGTCACTTTCATTATTACTATCTTTTTCTAATTATTTTCCTTTTTCTTTTCTTTGAAATTAAAAAAAAAAAACAAATAATTAAAATAATTAAAATATTATTATTTACGAAAAAAATAGTAAATTATGTTGCTTAATTTTTCCATTTTTATGAATCATATATGAGCTTTATTTATTTTAAAAAAATTGGTTGAAAGTAAAGCTCATTAATAATCTTATAGATGAAATTTCATGACTAGTCGCCAAAAGTCAAACATATAATTTAATTTTTTATTTTTATAATTATTGACTTTATATCAACTAATTAATTTACAATGACTGAGCATTAATTAGTGGTGGAAATGATATCTATATTACCAAACTAATCTCGATTCAAATTACATTAAATCTAATATATATATATACCCAACTATTTTTTCATAGATCATTTATTTATTTTTTCTTTAGATTTTTAAATAATTCATTAATTTTTTTATTCCTCAATGCTCTAGCATTTCACCTATTTCTCCATTTTTTAAAATTCCTTTTTTATATAAACAAAAAAAAAAACTCTCATTTTTTTTAATATTTTCAAATATAAATATTAAAAAAATTTCAACCGTTGATTCGAGATAAGTTTAATCAAATCCGATTGGAATTTATTTAAATAAAATGTCATCAACTTTCCCAGAGCGTTTAATTAAATTAATAGGTCCGATTTGGTTGACCCCAAGAAACTGGGTGTGAAACCCGCCATTATCTCTATAGCACGCGCTTGATTTTTTTTTTTTTTTTTTTTTTTTTCTAGAAATTTTCTCGTTCAAAGAGG